TTTTTTTTCTGATGATTCCTTTCGACGTTATTATCATATTGGAACAATAAAAAGAAGGGGTCACCGGACTTGTTTTCATGCAATAGCTTTCGTGAGTTTAGCAATTTCCACGCGCGTTCTCGCGCATTTAAAAATCTGGATTCTATAAGATCGACATTTGCTCATGATCTGTTTTAGCTACCGCTGACAATTGCGTGTGCTCGCGCGAGCACCTACGATCTGATGTTTACAGACGTTTACTGCTAAGAAAATCATTAAACAGCCGTCAAAGACAGCCTCCCGAGCTCATCTTAAAAATCCTACACATGACTTCTGGCTATATCATATTATTTTCCTTGAAGTTTCAAAGTCTTCTTCCACTTCAGGTAGATTATCCTTCACTTGAGTTCCTCTTTTTCGCCGTCGCAAGATTTCATATCGGTTGAATATTTCTTTTAAATGTGAAGTGAAGCAACCTTTACTTCTCCGAAAATCGTCTTCGTTATCTTAGTTTCTATCTCCTGCATTCACAGTGGCCGCTCAACACATCAAATACAAGCTCTTAGGTAAACTTCTCACAAAAGTAGAAAAAATTCCACACGCCGCTATCTTTGTTTTGAATTTTCATCTTTTGATCTCGCTCTTCTTTCGCACGTTTCTCTCGCGCGCGTCACGCAAGAGTAACCTTTTCCCCGCGCGAGGAAACTGGTGCGAGCCACCTTAAATCTGTCAAGTTCGGTTAACAGCCAAAAATAGCACTGATACTGTAATCCACTGTGATTTTATTTGATTTAGCTTTTCCTTTCCCCTTGCCTTGAGTGGACACTTCTGAATCTTGTGCCACATCTACTGTTTCCGAGATAATGCAAGTTACCAGACCATCAAGGTACCCAAATTGTGTACCGTTCCAACAGATTTGCACCCTGAATGACACATACAAATATTCCTTCTACCCCAGAACTATCAGAACTTGGAACAATATGAACTTACCTCAAATCCCTAACTCTCTAGATGATTTCAAGGCAATGTGTCCTTTTATATTTAAAGACAGTGGAGCTTTTATTTATGCGGTGTATATTAATTTTAATTATTTATTTTAGAAATATTTTTGTGTTATAATCAATGTTATTATTTAATGTTATTGTCATCACTATTTTAATACTTTTAAATATACTTATAAGTTATATACTGTAAAAACTCCTCGTATAGTTTTAACTGTTTTAGGAGTAAACCTATTAAAGCATTAAAGCATTCATTGTTGGACTGATGAAGTGGCGACCGGAAAATCACTCCACCGTTCTATCGTGCCCGGCTGCATCCAGCGCCTGACCTGCTCATAAGACTGGCCGCTATAATTTGCCTATGGATCCAAACTCCAATTACCAGGATTCATCTTAAGTTGTTTGAAGTTGTAAAATCCGCGAGTTTCGTAACGAAAGACAGTTACTGCAATCTTTTGGTAAACTAAACTTAGGTCAATTATCACACTGGTGGCGTACACGGCAAACAGATCGACAATTTTAGCGCGGTTTTTGTTTATTTAGTCGATTTTGCCAAGGTTTTACCCGGGACAAATTTTGTCGGCGGTGCGTTTGAAAATTTGTCCGCTTCGGCCAAAATTTGTCAAGTCGCGACAAACCATCTTACATTTGTAAGGTGTTGACGAAAGAAAATTTATTTAAATAAACATATGTCTGCACATCTTATTACTTTAAAGAGTATCATGATAGATGTGTATTGTCTGTTACATAAAGGAATTATCTGAGTGCTTTATTGCTAGTATCTATTTGAGCTTTAGGACTTAACCTTTCTTTTTTAGATAACCGTGGCACATTTACATTGTCGATTCAGACCCCCGGGTCTCAGTAACCTATATTTTTCCGGCCACTAATCGGTTGTGGTTTACGATATAATTTGACAGCAATCCATGTTTTTTTCTGGCTTCCCTGTTTGTAGTCTTCTTCACAGCCATTGTTTGGGCTCGTCACGCAACGCTCCCTCCCCCACCAACCACTGGTGGGGGAGGGAGCGTTGCGTGACGAGCCCAAACAACGGCTGCGAAGGAGACTACCTCAGATGAAGACTCTGAAAACCTACCAACCCCTACAGACTCAACTTCCATTAAAGCGTGTATCACTCTCTTAAGATGTGGTTGCTGATTCACCTTTCTCAGTGCCCTACATTTGAAAGTATGATAGATTGTAAAACAACATGAAATTACCATGCATGCATTGAAAGAATGGGCTCCTTGCACTAAGAAGTCACGTGATCTTCTCCGCCATGTTGGAGGGCAAACAAATCGGTTGCAACGGGAAACTGTGACTGCCTCGTGCAGTCACGAAAGGCCAATTACACAAATATTTGCACTATTGGCTTCTTTATTTTGGAACAAAACGACCTTTATCCACTCGTCAAATTTGCATAATGCCTAAAGAGCTTCTGTGATCGAGCATTTGTATTCACTTTTACTTCTAACGCGTTGGGAACGAACGAATGGCGGGCGAAAGTTTATTTAAGCTTGATAATTAAGCTAAGCCTATCTACTGATTGATTGATTGATTCCTTTATTCGATATTTCGCAAGAGTTTTGCTCTTGCTTTGGGTTAGGTAAAGATTGTCAAGAATTGTAGTCTAGTTGCATGTCTACAAAATGCGAAACTTACCGAAGGTTGACGCTATTTAGCTTTGTTTGATTCGACTGATTTCCTCAGTAATCCAACTGTGGACCCTCACGTTTACCGAGTATAACCTTCACCGAAGTAGAGAAATATGCAAGACGTTCAACGGGGTGCAAAAGCACTGCAAAAGCTTACAAATATTTTGCAGAACCAGGATATCTCCATAACATCAAAAGTAAGTGCACTGGTAAATAAATTGGTGTAGTCTCCTGAAAGTTGCTGATGTTTTCGCCTTTCATGTTATTAAACCATTCCTTAAAATGTGGTAAAGACTGATCCTAATTAATTTTAAAAATTTCAGTTACATATAGTGACTCGGAGGCATTTGTTTTGGCCAGATGCTACAGATCGATGAAGAAAAATGAAACACCACATTCCCTTCGAGTGATAACTGGTATGGATCAAACAACAGTTCTGGAAATTGTTCTTGTGTAGCAGGTGTTGGAGGGATTTGTCACCATGTTGTGGGCCTTACTTTTTACTTGTCACACTGTAAGCAACTTGGACTAAAGAGCTTACCTGATGATCTGACATGTACTATGATGGTACAGCGATGGAGCGTTCCCAGAGGGAAACGCATAAATCCTCAATGTGTGGACACCTTCATGGTGAAGAAGCCTCAGGAGGGTGCAAACTATAATAAATTCATTAAAACCACTCTGTACTCACCAGCATCCCAGTATCATATTCTGCGCCCTGATCAAAAAGCTAAAATCAAAAATCTAAATCCTGAGCCTTTGCCGTGGAGTTTGTTACCAGATCCAGAAAACTTCCCAAGCTCACATCTTCCTTCTGTACAAACCAAATTTGGAATGGTGCCAAAGGGGTCTGTAATATCTTACCAACAAAGGCTCCCAGAAAAATGTCATAAATTTTTATGCCCACACCTCATTCCCCAAGCTACCCCTTCCAAATGCAGGTTAAAGGTTTAAGAACAATGTTTGAACAACAAAAAATCAGCAAAGTTAGAGTCACTGTCAGTCACTTTAGAGATAGCACACGCTTTAGAAGAAAAAATGAGAGAAAAGGATGAAAGTGACCTTTCGCATTCATTAAGAAAAAAAAGAATCACTGCAAACAAGTTTGGAACAGTGGCAAAGAGAATTTCTAATTTTGATACTCTTGGTAAACAACTTCAGCCATCTAGGCTTGTACAGACAGCTGCTATGAACCCGCTATAGAAATGGGGGGAAGAGCAGCATCCATATATGCCACTAAAGCAAAGAAAGGGATGGTAAACTTGCACTCAAGTGGTCTGGTAATAAATCCAAAATGCCCCTGGCTTGGAATTGGAAGTTCCTCAGACAGGAAGGTTTATAATATTGAGGCAGCTCAAAATGGTTCATGAAGTCCCTATGGCTTGTTTGAGACAAAGGTTGTCCAGGAATGAACAACCAGCTTAGATGATGTGGCTTACCCCAAGCGTGAACCCATTTCAAATGAATTCACCCTAAACAAGAAACATGCGTATTATTTACAAGTACAATGCCAATTAGGTACTTCTGGTCTGAATTGGTGTGACTTTTTCAGTTACATCAATGATGATTTGTTTTTTTGCCAAAGAACAGTGGTATTTGATCATATTTTTTTCCAAGAATGTAAGGATAAGGTTGACATGTTTTATTTTAACTATTTTTTGTGAGAACACTTTCATCACTGTAATATTTATAATGAGAACACCCTGTGACACCTGCTAAGACAAATTATTTTTCAAAATTAATGGTCCCTGAAAATTTACAAGCAAACATCCCACTGTCCGCATCTGATTGACAGCGCCCAAAAGTGACAAAGGAATTTCATTGTCGAAAGATGATACTCTTTAATTCGGCGTATGGCCCTCTCCACATGAATCTGAACTTTGGCTATGGTTTTGGTTTCTTTGACTTCCTCTGGTGAAAACTGTACATGGTTTAAAGGATATGGTGGAAGTTTTAGCTTTACCCCTTTACTGCATAATAGATCATCAATATTAAAACCCTTATCAGCCATCACACTATTATTAGGCTCCAAAAGATCTAAAATTCCACAACACTTTATAATCTCTTTATCTTAAATAGAACCAGTATATAGTGAGGATACGAGTAAACAAACTTATTTTTCTCACCTTCACTCAGAAATGTTTAATTCGCTACCATTCTAGAGAACTACATTGACTCGACTATCATCACCTAACAATATCAACTTAGAAAATAGACAAAACCGGCGTTGAAAGGGAGTTAAAAAAAATGATATGACGTACCAGTTGGCAAAGTGCAGATTATACGAACGCGAAAACACAAGCAAATACGGAGCTTTCCGACAAATCAAAAACATCAGTAGGTCTACAACTATTACAGTCGCTCTTTTTTAGAGTTCTCAGTGGATAAAGATCGTTTTGTTCCGAAACAAAGAAGCAAGTAGAGCAAATATTTGCGTAACTCACCCTTCGTCATCTCATGAGGCAGCCACTGTTTCCCGTAGCAACCGACTTGTTTCCCCTTTAACATGGCGGAAACGATCACGTGACTTCTTAGTGCAAGGAGCCTATTGTACCATATTAACGAAAGCGTTACTAAGGTAAGAAAACAGGAAAATATCTTATTTTTTAACAACGTGATCTAATTTTCTTTAGCCAGTTTTTTCAATTTATGTACACTCTCAGTCAAACATTGTCAACTTTATCGCATCCTTTTATGAATTTAAGGGAAGTTCCACTCAGGGGCTTATTTGTGACTAGCAAACGTCTCCCTTGAAGTTTAACGGGACATCTTTTCACAGTGCGGATTAAAGTTTTTTCACTCATAGATGGTGGTTAGGTTGATCATCGCAGTGATGCAAAGGAATTCCGAAGATTTCCGCCGTTTTTTCGTGCTCCATTCGGATTGAAAAGGTCCTTGAGCACGATGAACGGCGGTCTTTCCGTGAGAATCTAAGATTACGAAGACTTGGATACCTGTACCCGCTCTGGTCGAAACCAAGTTACAGTTTGGTCGGCGGGAAAACATTATGTAAACAAAATAAACACACAAGGTTAAAAAGCTTGATTCCACAAATTGAGAACAGCGATATGATCTGGTATTCATGGACATTAGATTTTTTAAAAAGCATTTACCTGCAACCGTCAAAAGATTGAAACAACAGTGGAACCTTATATTTGGACAACCCTTTTCAGAGGACACCTAGGCGGACAAATAACTGCTTGATGGTTATGAGAATGAAGAAAGAGATAAACTACGGGTATTGTCTTGATATAGCGACCACAAAAATCTCAGAAATAATCAATCAGTGAAGTGAATTTATTTCAGTCGGAGGGGAGATGAGAGTTTTCAAAATTAGTCTAAGCTTTCTCATCTCATATATCTCAATACATCTTTGCGTTTATATCCATAGTTCTTTCCTCGCCATTTTCAGTCGTTTCCTTCATATTTTCTGGTAGACACGTCTCCTCCGGTATGTTTTCCTTTAATTACAAACATGCTAGCTTTAAGAAAAGCTTTTTGTTTAACTTTTACACACATTAGGCCATTTGATCAATGACAGGTTCTCACGACCATTTGAATATAAAGAGAAAGGTTTATTTTGGCCATATTTTTTAATGATCCTACCAAACTGAGACCAACTTCTAAAAAAAATATTAGCTAACCAACGGAAACGTAATATAGGACTAAAGAATGTAAACACCGACGGACGCTATCACCTATATGTTGCAAATCATGGACCGAAATTAGAAACTCTTCAAAGCTTTTTGTAGCAGACTTCAACGGCTGTCAATATCACCTAGTGCAGGCAGAGTAAAAACCGCTTTTGAGAATCACAGTGTTAATAATTCATATAGCCCGTAAGACGAAGGAAACGTTAAAAATCGAGGTCACTTTTAGACTTTTGATCGATATTTCTGACTGCGTTAATTTTTGAGGTTTCTTAAACATGCTAAAATTGTCTTGTTCTTGTTTTTCTTTGACGTATCAAAATACAAGAGATGCATAATCAAATATTCAAAAGAGGGGATTGTGGCTTTGCTCTCTCAGGTAAGAAGTTCCGTGTATTACTAAGGTAAACTCCCAACGAATCTGTAGTCTTTTATGCTAGTTTCTGTCTGTTGTAAGTCTTAGTTAAGCAACTAATGTTGTGTTTATGTAAAAGTTTGGCTTTAATACTTCTCCAGTCGATCGTCATCACAGTAGAGTGAAAGTCTTTCGACGAATCACGCTATTCAATTACAGCGACAATCAGAGCATACAAATGCATTAGAACATCGCTGTTGCAATTTATAATGCATCACATTCCTCAAACTATTATGTAAAACTAACGGAACATACTAAAGAATATTTTTTCATTTTTACTAGTTCATCGTTTTGATGTTGTCGGAACTATGTTTTGATGTTGGACACATGAATTTTAATTTAACGCACAGTGGTCGAGAACATAACAATTACAGGTTGACATGTTCAGGAAAGATGTTTGGTCAATGTATTATTTCAGCCGTCTCGTTTTCTTCAGTTTTAATTAAATCGAATTTGCTATTAAAATGATTCACTCTCGAAATGTTTCACACGTACATAAAATTTTCAGGGAGCAGAGACCAGTGGAAAACTAGAATGATTATCAAGCATAGCAGTAGTTGTATTTCATCGTTAGAAAAAACCGCACAGGTCTATCAAATTTTCGATTGAAAATTAATGGTCGTAACATGTGGTAGGGTTTAATCAATTCTCTGATAACATTTTCGTTGACTTCGTTATCCGGCCGCACGTTCGGTTCATTGAATAAAAAACTGTTATCTAAAATAGAGCAACTAAATAATTATATTACGCAGATCATACTGGTGTATTAGCCTGGAACTATAGATCTTAAAACAGTCACAATACTGGAACAAGCTGGAATAAAATAATAACATGTAGCCAACGGCTATTCAGTGTTGACGTAGATATATTTTTGTTTTATTCTAAACAGGCAGCCGTATTCCAAAGCAAGTATAGAATTTTCTGAGTATAGTAAGCATCCCAGTATTTCTTTTGGATCCGACCCAAATGAATGTTTGTCGGCCGCTAAAAGCTGAACTCGTCAAGAAAGTGACACGCGTAGCCAAAGGAATCCTTGTGACTTCAGTCTTGTCTCTACTCCTCGTTTTGGTTCTGGTTACCCTTCCAAAAATCGAAAGTTCAAAATTTAAATTGGGAGGCTGTACTGTCACGGCGACAAAGCTAATCACAACTCACGACAAGAGACTTCAATGCGACTGTATCAAACGGAACAGCAATTCAAAATGCACAATTTATTATCCTTGTTTGCAAATTTATGTGTCCTTCAACAATCGATCAGAACATGATGCTTTAGCCGTGAAAGACCGTCGGCAAATTACTAAAGAGTGTTCTTATATACTCAGAGACTCCGAATGTGGAACAACTGAAGAAGTTTACAGAAATGTGAACGGTTTCCTTGAACGATGGGGCTTGGTAAATTCGTCTTACAAATGTTATCATAACTCAAGGATTCAAGATCGGGTGATTTTAACAAACAATGCATTGGATACTGTTTTGGCTGTAGCCTTGACTCTAATTTCTTCTGTTGGAGTAGCCATTGGTTTGGCTTTGTTTTGTTTGAAAAAACAGATTAGTTTGATCATACTGAAGCGCGCCAGGAGACTCAGAATAAATGAACAGTTGGATTCCCTTGCCCAGGGTTCAGCGAGTGATGACGAAATGGAATATTAAACTATTCCATTTCGTCATCAGTCGCTGAACCCTAATGAGAGACAAAGCACAATGGTGTTTACGAGCTAGCAAGGCTCGGTGGTTGATGAAGGGAACCAGCTACACTCCTTGTAGTGCTCTCATCTCTCACAAACTTATGAATATGATCATGATGCGCAAAGTTTAACTTGAATTCACCTCTGTGATATTAATAAACTAAATCCAAGTTCTGAAAACCCGACTCTTGCTCGGTATCCAACGAAAAACGTATTAAAAAGCCTAAAAATATGGACAGCGGACTCCATCCGACCTCTGTCACGTGGTAGCAAATTACTGTTCGAAATTAGAAACTTCAAAACTTATTGTGGTAGACCTCAAGCTTTCAATGTCACCTTGTGTGTTGACGGGCCAGCATTCAAGTGTAGTTGAAAGGGAATTTATATGAAAATTATAAGGGTGCCTAAGACAAACAGAATGATTGGCTTCCCAACTCGGAGTCTTATACCCACCTTTTGGAAATTCTCGTTTATCTGGGGTAAATGTTTCAACTGGCAAGGCCTATCAAAAATACAGTCCTGGTCTGTATGTACCTAGAATTTGACGCAGGAAGAATGGTGATAAATTGCTGATAATTTGTTTATTGAAATAGCAGTGAATATGACTTACGACATCTTGCAAACAAGACATCACTGACGACGTCAAACGATGTTTTGCTATATTTTGTCCAAATGTACGTAGAGCTTCACGCAGGAAGCATGGAAATGAATAATTGGTAGTAATTTGTTTATCAAAACAGTCATAAACTTACGACACCTTGCATACAAAGCAGCATTAAAGACGTCAGTCAATATTTTAAGTTTGATTTGTCTGTATCAATGTACGTAGAGCTTCACGTAGTAAGAATGGTAATAAATAACTAGTAATTTGTTTACTAAAATTGCCACCAACTTACGACATCTTACAGCTTGGACATCATTGAAGACGTCAAACGCTGTTTGAGGTCAGCTTTTGCCTTGTATTGTCGTCATTCGTGAAATTGAAGTATCGACATCTTTATCAAAACGAACAATCACCTTACTTCCGTAATAGTACCCTTTTGCAATTCACGTCTCGCGCCGCATGAAACTAAAAATTCAAGCATTTAGAAGTCGTACAGCCGGTAGGATATCAATCGACCCCTTTCAAAGCTTACGGCCACTGTTAGATATTTACGAATGCAGAAATAGGATATAAATTTGCAGACACGAAGCTTATTAACCCGTAAATCCAAAGTTCGTAACTTGTAATTTTTGTGCGGGGTTTCAGTCGAATGCAGCGCTTGAAATCAACAAGATACCCATAATATAAAAAAAAATGACAGCTTTTTTTGTTTACCACTACATAATGATTTATCGGGGTGTAGAGGGTTACCAACCCTTACCGCCCAGCTGGGGCTAGGTATCTTTGAGGTTCAATGAACAAAGAAGGTTAAAAGAATAAATAAGCAGAAGGCTGAGATTCGTAGACTCTAAAGCTCTTAAAAATAAACTTGGACTGAATGGCGAAAACGTGCTTCACGGTGTATTTTATGTACCGAAAGTTTTTCGTTGAAGGCATTTCAGGAAGAACTGAAGAAGCAAGATTAGTTCAAGTGATGTTTTCTTGCAACTAGAGATACCGTTTCATGGGGAGGGGAAGGGGGGATAAGGCTCCTTTTACTAACATATCCATCTCTGACGCATAATTTTTTTATGCTAAACAAAACAATTAAAAACTAATTAGTTGATCAGACTTTGATCATACGAAATGCTGAAATACTATGTCAGTGGCATTTGACATGACGTGCCTAAATCTTCAAAATCAACGCAAATCAAAAGCAATCAGAGAAACTACGAGAAGTGTTCTAACATAATGTAACTATGATAGTAATGATAACAGTAGTTGTAATAACATTAATGATTATTTTGAGCCCATGCGCCTGTAGTAAACAGCTACACTGTCTATACCAGGCTAAGTCGTACATTCGCGTGCTTCATCGTGGCTCTAGTTTCACAAAATATGTCAATAATGAAAAAAAACAAAACATTAACACACTCAGGCAATCCTTTTACAATAGATACCAAATTTAAGCTGAGAGTTATAATTTGGCTCAGTATTGAGCACCAATCTATCTAAAGAACGTCAAGGTCACTGAGCGCAAGTCACGTTTTTTCCATCTTATTCTGTTATCATCATTAAGACATTGAAATATTGACATCTTAGTCTGTTATTGAAAAGAGAACAACCTACTTTAATATCTACGCTCTGCTACAATTCAAGTACAACTGGAAGTAATTTACGAGAATTATCGACTTTAGAGGGCTGATATCGCAAGGGTATGCACTGTAAAGATCTTCAAATACAACTTTTAAACACGGTTCCCATTTTTTTTTTTTTTTGTACTTCTACTGTCTCTCCTGACTAATGAACGATTTCGTATAAAGTTACTGAACTCAAGAACAACGTAAACATATCCATGATAAAAAATGATACAACCGTTTCAGTCACACAATTGAAGTCTAGGGTTCAAATAATATATTGTTCCATTAACGTCTATTCCACTCGCACTATGACGCAGGAAAGATCAACAACCAACAAAAAACGAAAACAGTTTATGGTAAAGAGCGTCATCATTTGCCCACACGACTAGATAATTACTAATACGTGTTCACGTGAACTTTGACCTAGGAAGAGTTGTAACAAACAAAGTAATGAGTAAATTGCTAATCCTCTGACGCATATACAGTAGGCTAGACTGTGAAGAAAGCGAAAAAAAAAATTAAGAAGAAAATATGCAGCGAGTGTCGCATTCTATCTTTTCTGAAACCGAAGAATCACATTACTCAGGCGTACAATTTGTTTCGAACAGTGTAAGGTCAAAGATCAGTCAAGAACTTCAGTAGAACCCCGCCAACTCGAAAACGGTCATTTCGAACGCCCCGCTAACTCGAGCAAGATTCCATTTCTCTTGGGTTTGACCCTATTTTCCAGTCATTTACTATCGGCTAACTCATACTCGGTCATCTCGAACTTCCAGTTAACTCGTTTAATTTTACTATGTCTTGGTTCAAATTTAGTATGATTACTCGAACTTTAATCAAAAGCGTCGGTCGATAAACGTCAAAGTGTCACAACATTGCGATTGATACGAAAGTATAAACATTTATAAAAAACATTTAGCTAAACTTCTCAAACAAAACGTTCTTATAAGAAAAAGAACCTCTTATAGAACAAAATGTACGAAAATGACTGTTGATCGCGGGAAAATGGTAAAAACATGATTCCTTATTTTGAGTTGAAATTCAATCATTACCAACTCCGATAAATCGAAGTCCCGCTAACACAAACCATGTTTCGTTTCCCTTTGGAATTCGAATAAGCGGGGTTCTGCTTTGAGTATCTCGGTCCAAAGAAGCATTTAACAGGGCAGAACTTCACCTATTGAGTTCAGACGATTAGCTCCGTGTTTTTTAGCAAAGTTGGAACCTAACAGAATGCTCTATCATTGATAATAGATCAGGTTGATAAACTTGGGAAGTCAATATATATATATACTCAAAGATACAGTCGAATCTCTATAAGCGATCACCCACGAGAATGTTAAAGTTGTTTTATATAAGAAATGCCATTTTATGCCATAGTTGGCCACTAAAAGTACAAAGGCTCACCAAAAAATATTACTAACACTTTTTTTAGGGTATAAACATGGATCACATGCATGAAAGCTTGTTCTTAGTTTCATGGTTCCGCTTTAAGTGCCCGTTCAATACAGGTGGAAGACGTTACAAACAGGTCGTTGGGGCTTTATATGTAAAGGGTGGCCGCGACCGCTAAATAGTGGTCACCGCTTACTAAGGTGAAAATTACAGTGTTTAAGGGGAAATATATCTAAGAATTTCGCCATTTACATCGACAAGGCCATAATCAGTAATGGAAGAGCTTAAGTAGAACCATTTATGACTGTAATAATGGAGAAAGATCGACTCAAAGGCAAATATCGATCGCAATAACTGGTTGACATTATAACATGATACCGGATTTATCTATCAGTTTGATAGAGTCACAACAAAAACTACTAAGGTACAGAATATATACTTTGCACAATGTTTTGTCTGATTCACTCACATCACATAATGATATAGTCGAAGTCCGATAACCTTGAAAACCTCTCTAACTCAAACCAAAATCGATTTACTTTGGATTTCCTGCTAATTATACTACTGGTAACTCAAACTCTGACGCAGTTAGGAGAATAAAAGCACATTATAGTAAGATATCGTT